AGGAATTCCATTGATTGTAGGGGACCCTTCCAAGCAATCCTTCTCTGGTGCCTTCATTCTTTCCTACCCTAAAGCCTGAGCAACTCGCAACCCCGCAGGGAAGGAATTTTAATTATTTTGGAGTGGAAAACAAAGATTAATCAGGAACATTTGCATCCAGAGAAGGAGAAGCATCTGGTGCTCAGATTTTTTACAACCGGCCCCAAATCAACACCTGGCATAAATTGCCAGGGCTCTAAGGGAGGAGGGATTCGAAACAGAGCAGCCCCTTTCCCAAAACCAAAGCAATGCTTTCGTAAAATCCGTCAGATACAAGAATGATGAACAAAGAGAGCTTCTTCGGCCAAATAAAAGCGAGTTATACAGCCAAGCCGGAAATTTAAATCACTCTATTGTCAACAATAGAGACAGCGTGGTTCGAACATAGGACTTTGGAGATTGGAGTCTGAATCACTGCTCTCTCTGCATGACCTTGGGCGAGTCACACACTCTCAGCCTCAGAAAACCCCAGGATAGGCTCACAGTTTAATAGTATTTTAAGGGGGGATCCTGGGATATTAATGTATATTTTAGTGTTGTAAGCCACCCTGGTTGCGTTATGCAGAGGGGAGGGATAAAAATAAAATTTATTATTATTATTATTATTATTATTATTATTATTATTATTATTATTATTACCAAATTGACAGCTGATGAATTGTCTCCCCTTCAGCTGTAAGCAATTGGAAACGGAAAGGAAAAGGGAAAGAGAAAGAAAAGGCTGGTCTCCTCTTCTCAAAATTTAGTAAATTTTGTGGCTCAGCATATCTACATTTGCCCTGTTTGCTAATCCTGCAAAGGGGATTAGACTTTTTTTAAAATCAAAATTTAGATAATCTCCAGTTTCTGCAGGGATCCCATCAGACCCAAGCTAGATTCCCCAGCCCACCTCCTCCTTTTGCAAAATCTTTGCAAACCATCCAAATGTAAACCTGGGACATTTGTGGGTTTGCAATGGAAATAAGCTGAGGATGAAGGGAGAAAGTGGGAGGAAGAGAAAGAAACCGGGACGTTTTAAAAGTAGCGGGAAAAGTGGGATGGCAGAGGATTAATCGGGGTTGTCAGGTCCAAATTGGGACAGTTGGAAGGTATATCTTTGCAAGTCCAAAGCAAGAACTGGTTGCAACGAATCAAGCAGGGAAGAGAAATCCCGGAGGAGGCGGCAGCATCCGGGAAGAGATGATTCACGCATCTGGATTGATGGAGCAACCAGTTCAGCAACAACTTGTTTAGGCTTCAACCTGGACTAAAGAGAGGGAAGGTTGTCTTTAAAGCAGCAAAAGGATGCAAGAGCAAAGCCT